GTGGTGAGTGAGTGGGTGAGTGGGTGAGTGAATGAGTGGGTGAGTGAGTGAGTGGGTGAGTGGGTGAGTGAGTGGGTGAGTGGTGGGTGAGTGGTGAGTGAGTGGTGAGTGGGTGAGTGAGTGAGTGGGTGAGTGAGTGGTGAGTGGGTGAGTGAGTGGTGAGTGAGTGAGTGGGTGAGTGAGTGGTGAGTGAGGGGTGAGTGGGTGAGTGAGTGAGTGAGTGGTGAGTGAGTGGTGAGTGAGTGGTGAGTGGGTGAGTGAGTGGTGAGTGAGTGGGTGAGTGAGTGGTGAGTGGGTGAGTGAGTGGTGAGTGAGTGAGTGGGTGAGTGAGTGGTGAGTGAGGGGTGAGTGAGTGGGTGAGTGAGTGGTGAGTGAGTGGTGAGTGGGTGAGTGGGTGAGTGGGTGAGTGAGTAGGTGAGTGGGTGAGTGAGTGAGTGGGTGAGTGAGTGGGTGAGTGGGTGTGTGAGTAGGTGAGTGGGTGAGTGAGTGGTGGGTGTGTGAGTAGGTGAGTGGGTGAGTGAGTGGTGAGTGAGTGAGTGGGTGAGTGAGTGGGTGAGTGGGTGTGTGAGTAGGTGAGTGGGTGAGTGAGTGGTGAGTGAGTGGTGAGTGAGTGAGTGGGTGAGTGGGTGTGTGAGTAGGTGAGTGGGTGAGTGAGTGGTGAGTGAGTGAGTGGGTGAGTGAGTGGGTGAGTGGGTGAGTGGGTAGGTGAGTGGGTGAGTGAGTGAGTGGGTGAGTGGGTGAGTGAGTGGGTGAGTGGGTGTGTGAGTAGGTGAGTGGGTGAGTGGGTGAGTGAGTGGTGAGTGAGTGGGTGGGTGAGTGAGTGAGTGGGTGAGTGGGTGAGTGGGTGAGTGAGTGGTGAGTGAGTTGTGAGTGGGTGAGTGGGTGTGTGAGTGGGTGAGTGGGTGAGTGAGTGGTGAGTGAGTGGTGAGTGAGTGAGTGGGTGTGTGAGTAGGTGAGTGGGTGAGTGGGTGAGTGAGTGGTGAGTGGGTGAGTGAGTGGTGAGTGAGTGGGTGTGTGAGTAGGTGAGTGGGTGAGTGGGTGAGTGAGTGGTGAGTGGGTGAGTGAGTGGTGAGTGAGTGGGTGTGTGAGTAGGTGAGTGGGTGAGTGAGTGGTGAGTGAGTGAGTGGTGAGTGAGTTGTGAGTGAGTGAGTGGGTGAGTGGGTGTGTGAGTAGGTGAGTGAGTGAGTGGTGAGTGAGTGGTGAGTGAGTGAGTGGGTGAGTGAGTAGGTGAGTGGGTGAGTGAGTGGTGAGTGAGTGAGTTAATTCACCCAAAATAATTCGGAATTAATTATTTAATTCATATGTCCGTTATGGGATGCGGCGGACTCGCAGCGCACTGTACGTACTGTACACAGCGCACGCTCAGCACTGTACACACTGTACACCTCGTGCGCAGCGCTGTCCGTACTGTGCACACTGTACGTACTGTGCATACAGTATGCACTGTCTGTGTGGTGAGTCTATGGGTCTCTGTGTGGTGAGTCTATGGGTCTGTGTGGTGAGTCTATGGGTCTCTGTGTGGTGAGTCTGTGGGTCTCTGTGTGGTGAGTCTGTGGGTCTCTGTGTGGTGAGTCTATAGGTCTTTGTGTGATGAGTCTGTGGGTCTCTGTGTGGTGAGTCTATGGGTCTCTATGTGGTGAGTCTGTGGGTCTCTGTGTGGTGAGTCTATAGGTCTCTGTGTGATGAGTCTGTGGGTCTCTGTGTGGTGAGTCTATGGGTCTCTGTGTGGTGAGTCTATAGGTCTTTGTGTGATGAGTCTGTGGGTCTCTGTGTGGTGAGTCTATGGGTCTCTATGTGGTGAGTCTGTGGGTCTCTGTGTGGTGAGTCTATAGGTCTCTGTGTGATGAGTCTGTGCGTCTCTGTGTGGTGAGTCTATGGGTCTCTGTGTGGTGAGTTTGTGGGTCTCTGTGTGGTGAGTCTGTGGGTCTCTGTGTGGTGAGTCTATGGGTCTCTGTGTGAGTGAGTCTGTGGGTCTCTGTGTGGTGAGTCTATGGGTCTCTGTGTGGTGAGTCTGTGGGTCTCTGTGTGGTGAGTCTATGGGTCTCTGTGCGTGGTGAGTCTATGGGTCTCTGTGTGAGTGAGTCTATGGGTCTCTGTGTGGTGAGTCTGTGGGTCTCTGTGTGGTGAGTCTGTGTGTCTCTGTGTGGTGAGTCTATGGGTCTCTGTGTGGTGAGTCTATGGGTCTCTGTGTGGTGAGTCTGTGGGGCTCTGTGTGGTGAGTCTGTGGGTCTCTGTGTGGTGAGTCTGTGGGTCTCTGTGTGAGTCTATGGGTCTCTGTGTGGTGAGTCTATGGGTCTCTGTGTGGTGAGTCTGTGGGTCTCTGTCTGATGAGTCTGTGGGTCTCTGTGTGGTGAGTCTATGGGTCTCTGTGTGGTGAGTCTATGGGTCTCTGTGTGGTGAGTCTGTCGGTCTCTGTGTGGGGAGTCTGTGGGTCTCTGTGTGGTGAGTCTGTGGGTCTCTGTGTGGTGAGTCTATGGGTCTCTGTGTGGTGAGTCTGTGGGTCTCTGTGTGAGTCTATGGGTCTCTGTGTAGTGAGTCTGTGGGTCTCTGTGTGGTGAGTCTGTGGGTCTCTGTGTGGTGAGTCTGTGGGTGTCTGTGTGGTGAGTCTGTGGGTCTCTGTGTGGTGAGTCTATGGGTCTCTGTGTGGTGAGTCTGTGGGTCTCTGTGTGAGTGAGTCTATGGGTCTCTGTGTGAGTGAGTCTATGGGTCTCTGTGTGGTGAGTCTGTCGGTCTCTGTGTGGGGAGTCTGTGGGTCTCTGTGTGGTGAGTCTGTGGGTCTCTGTGTGGTGAGTCTGTGGGTGTCTGTGTGGTGAGTCTGTGGGTCTCTGTGTGGTGAGTCTGTGGGTCTCTGTGTGGTGAGTCTGTGGGTCTCTGTGTGGTGAGTGTGTGGGTCTCTGTCTGGTGAGTGTGTGGGTCTCTGTGTGGTGAGTCTGTGGGTCTCTGTGTGGTGAGTGTGTGGGTCTCTGTGTGGTGAGTCTGTGGGTCTCTGTGTGGTGAGTCTGTGGGTCTCTGTGTGAGTGAGTCTATGGGTCTCTGTGTGAGTGAGTCTATGGGTCTCTGTGTGAGTGAGTCTGTGGGTCTCTGTGTGAGTGAGTCTATGGGTCTCTGTGTGGTGAGTCTATGGGTCTCTGTGTGGTGAGTCTATGGGTCTCTGTGTGGTGAGTCTGTGGGTCTCTGTGCGAGTGAGTCTGTGGGTCTCTGTGTGAGTGTGTCTGTGGGTCTCTGTGTGGTGAGTCTATGGGTCTCTGTGTGAGTGAGTCTGTGGGTCTCTGTGTGAGTGAGTCTATGGGTCTCTGTGTGGTGAGTCTATGGGTCTCTGTGTGGTGAGTTTGTGGGTCTCTGTGTGGTGAGTCTGTGGGTCTCTGTGTGGTGAGTCTATGGGTCTCTGTGTGAGTGAGTCTGTGGGTCTCTGTGTGGTGAGTCTATGGGTCTCTGTGTGGTGAGTCTGTGGGTCTCTGTGTGGTGAGTCTATGGGTCTCTGTGCGTGGTGAGTCTATGGGTCTCTGTGTGAGTGAGTCTGTGGGTCTCTGTGTGGTGAGTCTGTGTGTCTCTGTGTGGTGAGTCTATGGGTCTCTGTGTGGTGAGTCTATGGGTCTCTGTGTGGTGAGTCTGTGGGTCTCTGTGTGAGTCTATGGGTCTCTGTGTGGTGAGTCTATGGGTCTCTGTGTGGTGAGTCTGTGGGTCTCTGTCTGATGAGTCTATGGGTCTCTGTGTGGTGAGTCTGTGGGTCTCTGTGTGATGAGTCTGTGGGTCTCTGTGTGGTGAGTCTATGGGTCTCTGTGTGGTGAGTCTATGGGTCTCTGTGTGGTGAGTCTATGGGTCTCTGTGTGGTGAGTCTGTGGGTCTCTGTGTGGGGAGTCTGTGGGTCTCTGTGTGGTGAGTCTGTGGGTCTCTGTGTGGTGAGTCTGTGGGTCTCTGTGTGGTGAGTCTATGGGTCTCTGTGTGGTGAGTCTGTGGGTCTCTGTGTGAGTCTATGGGTCTCTGTGTAGTGAGTCTATGGGTCTCTGTGTGGTGAGTCTGTGGGTCTCTGTGTGGTGAGTCTGTGGGTCTCTGTGTGGTGAGTCTGTGGGTGTCTGTGTGGTGAGTCTGTGGGTCTCTGTGTGGTGAGTCTATGGGTCTCTGTGTGGTGAGTCTGTGGGTCTCTGTGTGGTGAGTGTGTGGGTCTCTGTGTGGTGAGTCTGTGGGTCTCTGTGTGGTGAGTCTGTGGGTCTCTGTGTGAGTGAGTCTATGGGTCTCTGTGTGAGTGAGTCTATGGGTCTCTGTGTGGTGAGTCTGTGGGTCTCTGTGTGGTGAGTCTGTGGGTGTCTGTGTGGTGAGTCTGTGGGTCTCTGTGTGGTGAGTCTGTGGGTCTCTGTGTGGTGAGTCTGTGGGTCTCTGTGTGGTGAGTCTATGGGTCTCTGTGTGGTGAGTCTGTGGGTTTCTGTGTGGTGAGTCTATGGGTCTCTGTGTGGTGAGTCTGTGGGTCTCTGTGTGCGTGTCTGTGGGTCTCTGTGTGCGTGTCTGTGTGTGTCTATGTGTGTGTCTATGTGTGTGTGTGTGTGTCTGTGTGTGTCTCTGTGTGTCACTGTGTGTGTCTATGTGTGTCTGTATGTGTGTGTCTCTGTGTGTGTCACTGTGTGTGTCTGTGTGTGTGTCTGTGTGTGTGTCTGTGTGTGACTGTGTATGTGTGTGACTGTGTATGTGTGTGCGTATCTGTGTGTGTGTCTGTGTGTGTCTGTGTGTGTGTCTATCTGTGTGTGTGTCTGTGTGTGTGACTGTGTGTGTGTCTGTGTGTGTGGCTGTGTGTGTGTGACTGTGTGTGTGACTGTGTGTGTGTCTGTGTGTGTGTCTGTGTGTGTGTGACTGTGTGTGTGTGTGTGACTGTGTGTGTGTGACTGTGTGTGTGACTGTGTGTGTGAGACTGTGTGTGTGTGTCTGTGTGTGTGTGACTGTGTGTGTGTGTGACTGTGTGTGTGTGTGTCTGTGTGTGTGTGACTGTGTGTGTGTGTGTCTGTGTGTGTGTGTGTCTGTGTGTGTGACTGTGTGTGTGTGACTGTGTGTGTGTGTGACTGTGTGTGTGAGACTGTGTGTGTGTGACTGTGTGTGTGACTGTGTGTGTGACTGTGTGTGTGTGTGTGACTGTGTGTGTGTGTGTGACTGTGTGTGTGTGAGACTGTGTGTGTGTGTCTGTGTGTGTTTGACTGTGTGTGTGTGTGACTGTGTGTGTGTGTGTCTGTGTGTGTGTGACTGTGTGTGTGTGTGTCTGTGTGTGTGTGTGTCTGTGTGTGTGACTGTGTGTGTGTGACTGTGTGTGTGTGTGTGTGACTGTGTGTTGTCTCTCTCCGCCTGTAGATGGCTGAGGAGCAGCGCTGGCCGGAGTTGGAGGCACTGAAGCAGAGCGGAGGAAGGGAGTTGGTACTACACGGTGCAGACGTTGCCAGGTAGTGTATAGTGTAGTGTAGTAGTGTGTAGTGTAGTGTATAGTGTAGTGTAGTAGTGTATAGTGTAGTAGTGTATAGTGTAGTGTGTAGTGTATAGTGTAGTGTATAGTGTAGTAGTGTAGTAGTGGATAGTGTAGTAGTGTATAGTGTAGTAGTGTATAGTGTAGTGTAGTATATAGTGTAGTAGTGTATAGTGTAGTAGTGTATAGTGTAGTAGTGTAGTGTGTATAGTGTAGTAGTGTATAGTGTAGTAGTGTATAGTGTAGTGTAGTAGTGTGTAGTGTAGTGTAGTAGTGTATAGTGTAGTAGTGTATAGTGTAGTAGTGTATAGTGTAGTAGTGTATAGTGTAGTGTATAGTGTAGTAGTGTATAGTGTAGTAGTGTATAGTGTAGTAGTGTATAGTGTAGTAGTCTATAGTGTAGTAGTAGTGTATAGTGTAGTAGTGTATAGTGTAGTAGTGTATAGTGTAGTAGTGTATAGTATAGTAGTGTATAATGTAGTGTATAGTGTAGTAGTGTATAGTGTAGTAGTAGTGTATAGTGTAGTAGTGTACAGTGTAGTGTAGTAGTGTATAGCGTAGTAGTGTATAGTGTAGTAGTGTATAGTGTAGTAGTGTATAGTGTAGTAGTGTATAGTGTAGTAGTGTATAGTGTAGTAGTGTATAGTGTAGTAGTGTATAGTGTAGTAGTGTATAGTGTAGTAGTGTATAGTGTAGTAGTGTATAGTGTAGTGTATAGTGTAGTAGTGTATAGTGTAGTGTAGTAGTGTATAGTGTAGTGTATAGTGTAGTAGTAGTGTATAGTGTAGTAGTGTATAGTGTAGTAGTGTATAGTGTAGTAGTGTATAGTGTAGTAGTGTATAGTATAGTAGTGTATAGTGTAGTAGTGTATAGTGTAGTAGTAGTGTATAGTGTAGTAGTGTACAGTGTAGTGTAGTAGTGTATAGCGTAGTAGTGTATAGCGTAGTAGTGTATAGTGTAGTAGTGTATAGTGTAGTAGTGTATAGTGTAGTAGTGTATAGTGTAGTAGTGTATAGCGTAGTAGTGTATAGTGTAGTAGTGTATAGTGTAGTAGTGTATAGTGTAGTAGTGTATAGTCTAGTAGTGTATAGTGTAGTAGTGTATAGTGTAGTAGTGTATAGTGTAGTAGTGTAGTGTGTGTAGTGTAGTGTGTGTAGTGTAGTGTTTAGTGTATAGTGTAGTGTAGTGTGTGTGTCAGTGTCTCTGAGTGTCTCTGAGTGTCTCTGTGTCTCTCTGAGTGTCTCTGTGTGTCTCTCTGTGTGTCTCTGTGTGTCTCTGTGTGTCTCTGAGTGTCTCTGTGTGTCTCGGAGTGTCTCTGTGTGTCTCTGAGTGTCTCTGTGTGTCTCTGTGTGTCTCTGTTTGTCTCTGTGTCTCTCTCTGAGTGTCTCTGTGTGTCTCTGTGTGTGTCTGAGTGTCTCTGTGTGTCTCTGAGTGTCTCTGTGTGTCTCTGAGTGTCTCTGTGTGTCTCTGACTGTCTCTCTCTCTGAGTGTCTCTGTGTGTTTCTGTGTGTCTCTGAGTGTCTCTGTGTGTGTCTGTGTGTCTCTGTGTGTCTCTGTGTGTCTCTGTGTGTCTCTGAGTCTCTGAGTGTCTCTGTGAGTCTCTGTGTGTCTCTGTGTGTCTCTGTGTGTCTCTGCGTGTCTCTGAGTGTCTCTGTGTGTCTGTCTGAGTGTCTCTGTGTGTCTCTGAGTCTCTGAGTGTCTCTGTGTGTCTCTGTGTCTCTGAGTGTCTCTGTGAGTCTCTGTGTGTCTCTGTGTGTCTCTGAGTGTCTCTGTGTGTCTCTCTCTCTCTGAGTGTCTCTGTGTGTCTCTGTGTGTCTCTGAGTGTCTCTGAGTGTCTCTGTGTGTCCCTGAGTGTCTCTGTGTGTCCCTGAGTGTCTCTGTGAGTCTCTGTGTGTCTCTGTGTGTCTCTGTGTGGCTGTGTCTCTCTGTGTCTCTCTGTGTGTCTCTGTGTGTCTCTGTGTGTCTCTGAGTGTCTCTGAGTGTCTCTGTGTGTCTCTGTGTGTCTCTGAGTGTCTGTGTCTCTCTGTGTCTCTCTGAGTGTCTGTGTCTCTCTGTGTCTCGCTGAGTGTCTCTGAGTGTCTCTGTGAGTCTCTGTGTGTCTCTGACTGTCTCTCTCTCTCTGAGTGTCTCTGTGAGTCTCTGTGTGTCTCTGTGTGTCTCTGACTGTCTCTCTCTCTCTGAGTGTCTCTGTGTGTGTCTGTGTGTGTCTGAGTGTCTCTGTGTGTCTCTGTGTGTCTCTGAGTGTCTCTGTGTGTCTCTGAGTGTCTCTGTGTGTCTCTGACTGTCTCTCTCTCTGAGTGTCTCTGTGTGTTTCTGTGTGTCTCTGAGTGTCTCTGTGTGTGTCTGTGTCTCTGTGTGTCTCTGTGTGTCTCTGTGTGTCTCTGAGTCTCTGAGTGTCTCTGTGTGTCTCTGTGTGTCTCTGTGTGTCTCTGCGTGTCTCTGAGTGTCTCTGTGTGTCTGTCTGAGTGTCTCTGTGTGTCTCTGAGTCTCTGAGTGTCTCTGTGTGTCTCTGTGTCTCTGAGTGTCTCTGTGAGTCTCTGTGTGTCTCTGTGTGTCTCTGAGTGTCTCTGAGTGTCTCTGTGTGTCCCTGAGTGTCTCTGTGTGTCTCTGAGTGTCTCTGTGAGTCTCTGTGTGTCTCTGTGTGTCTCTGTGTGTCTCTCTGTGTCTCTCTGTGTGTCTCTGTGTGTCTCTGAGTGTCTCTGAGTGTCTCTGTGTGTCTCTGAGTGTCTCTGTGTGTCTCTGTGTGTCTCTGAGTGTCTGTGTCTCTCTGTGTCTCTCTGAGTGTCTGTGTCTCTCTGAGTGTCTCTGAGTGTCTCTGTGAGTCTCTGTGTGTCTCTGACTGTCTCTCTCTCTCTGAGTGTCTCTGTGAGTCTCTGTGTGTCTCTGTGTGTCTCTGACTGTCTCTCTCTCTCTGAGTGTCTCTGTGTGTCTCTGTGTGTCTCTGAGTGTCTCTGTGTGTCTCTGTGTCTCTCTCTCTGTGTCTCTGAGTGTCTCTGTGTGTCTCTGTGTGTCTCTGACTGTCTCTCTCTCTCTGAGTGTCTCTGTGTGTCTCTGAGTGTCTCTGTGTGTCTCTGTGTGTCTCTGTGTCTCTCTCTCTCTCTGTGTCTCTGAGTGTCTCTGAGTGTCTCTGAGTGTCTCTGAGTGTCTTTGAGTGTCTCTGTGTGTCTCTCTCTCTCTGAGTGTCTCTGTGAGTCTCTGTGTGTCTCTGAGTGTCTCTGAGTGTCTCTGAGTGTCTCTGTGTGTCTCTGAGTGTCTCTGTGTCTCTCTGAGTGTCTCTGAGTGTCTCTGTGAGTCTCTGTGTGTCTCTGTGTGTCTCTCTGTGTGTCTCTGTGTGTCTCTCTCTCTGTGTGTCTCTGAGTGTCTCTGAGTGTCTCTCTCTCTCTCTGAGTGTCTCTCTCTGTCTCTGTGGGTCTCTGTGTGTCTCTGTGAGTCTCTGAGTGGCTCTGGGTGTTTCTGTGAGTCTCTGTGTGTCTCTGTGTGTCTCTGAGTGTCTCTGTGTCTCTCTGAGTGTCTCTGAGTGTCTCTGTGAGTCTCTGTGAGTCTCTGTGTGTCTCTGTGTGTCTCTCTGTGTGTCTCTGAGTGTCTCTCTCTCTCTCTCTGTGTCTCTGAGTGTCTCTGAGTGTCTCTTTCTGAGTGTCTCTGTGAGTCTCTGAGTGTCTCTCTCTCTGTGTGTCTCTGAGTGTCTCTGTGTGTCTCTGAGTGTCTCTGTGTCTCTCTGTGAGTCTCTGAGTGTCTCTGAGTGTCTCTCTCTGCGTGTCTCTGAGTGTGTCTGTGTGTCTCTGAGTGTCTCTGTGTCTCTCTGTGAGTCTCTGAGTGTCTCTGAGTGTCTCTCTCTGCGTGTCTCTGAGTGTGTCTGTGTGTCTCTGAGTGTCTCTGTGTCTCTCTGTGTGTCTCTGAGTGTCTCTGTGTGTCTCTGAGTGTCTCTGTGTGTCTCTGAGTGTCTGTGTCTCTCTGTGTCTCTCTGTGTCTCTCTGAGTGTCTCTGTGTGTCTCTGAGTGTCTCTGTGAGTCTCTGTGAGTCTCTGTCTCTCTCTGAGTGTCTCTGTGTGTCTCTGAGTGTCTCTGAGTGTGTCTCTGAGTGTCTCTCTCTGTGTGTCTCTGTGTGTCTCTGTGTGTCTCTGAGTGTCTCTGAGTGTCTCTGAGTGTCTCTTTCTCTGTGTGTCTCTGTGGGTCTCTGTGTGTCTCTGAGTGTCTCTGAGTGTCTCTGAGTGTCTCTCTCTCTGTGTGTCTCTGTGGGTCTCTGTGAGTCTCTGTGAGTCTCTGTGAGTCTCTGTGTGTCTCTGTGTGTCTCTGTGTGTCTCTGTGTGTCTCTGAGTGTGTCTCTGAGTGTCTCTGTGAGTCTCTGTGTCTCTCTGTGTGTCTCTGTGAGTCTCTGTGGGTCTCTGAGTCTCTGAGTGTCTCTGTGTCTCTGTGTGTCTCTGTGTGTGTCTGAGTGTCTCTGTGTGTCTCTGTGTGTCTCTGTCTCTCTCTGAGTGTCTCTGTGTGTCTCTGTGTGTCTCTCTCTCTGAGTGTCTCTGAGTGTCTCTGAGTGTCTCTGTGAGTCTCTGTGAGTCTCTGTCTCTCTCTGAGTGTCTCTGTGTGTCTCTGTGTGTCTCTGTGAGTCTCTGTGTGTCTCTGTATGTCTCTGTGAGTCTCTGTGTGTCTCTGTATGTCTCTGTGAGTCTCTGAGTGTCTCTGTGTGTCTCTGAGTGTCTCTGTGTCTCTCTGTGAGTCTCTGAGTGTCTCTGAGTGTCTCTGAGTGTCTCTGAGTGTCTCTGTGTCTCTGAGTGTCTCTGTGAGTCTCTGTGAGTCTCTGTCTCTCTCTGTGTCTCTCTGAGTGTCTCTGAGTGTCTCTGAGTGTCTCTCTCTGCGTGTCTCTCTGTAGACGAGTGGAGTCTGCGGCCGGACGTGTCCCGTCCGCCCTGTACCGTCTGTCCCGTCTCAACTTGCTGGACATGTCCGGCGTGTCTCTGTCGCTGGTCCAGCCTCAGCTGGGCTGTCTCTCCGCACTTGGTTCCCTCATGCTACACGGGAACCGCTTGCAAGAGTTGCCGGAGGAGATCGGTCAGCTGACTCAACTCAAGGTGGGCCAGCTCAGTCAGTCAGTCAGTCGGTCGGTCGGTGAGTGAGTGAGTCAGTCAGTGAGTGAGTCAGTCAGTGAGTGAGTCAGTGAGTGAGTCAGTCAGTGAGTGAGTCAGTGAGTCAGTCAGTTGCTCAGTCAGTGAGTCAGTCAGTGAGTCAGTCAGTGAGTGAGTCAGTCAGTGAGTCAGTCAGTGAGTCAGTCAGTCAGTCGCTCAGTCAGTGAGTCAGTCAGTGAGTCAGTCAGTGAGTGAGTCAGTGAGTGAGTCAGTCAGTGAGTGAGTCAGTGAGTCAGTCAGTCAGTCGCTCAGTCAGTGAGTCAGTCAGTGAGTCAGTCAGTGAGTGAGTCAGTCAGTGAGTGAGTCAGTGAGTCAGTCAGTCAGTCGCTCAGTCAGTGAGTCAGTCAGTGAGTCAGTCAGTGAGTGAGTCAGTCAGTGAGTCAGTCAGTGAGTGAGTCAGTGAGTGAGTCAGTCAGTGAGTGAGTCAGTGAGTCAGTCAGTCAGTCAGTCGCTCAGTCAGTGAGTCAGTCAGTGAGTCAGTCAGTGAGTGAGTCAGTCAGTGAGTGAGTCAGTGAGTCAGTCAGTCAGTCGCTCAGTCAGTGAGTCAGTCAGTGAGTCAGTCAGTGAGTGAGTCAGTCAGTGAGTCAGTCAGTGAGTGAGTGAGTCAGTCAGTCAGTCAGTCGCTCAGTCAGTGAGTCAGTCAGTCAGTGAGTCAGTGAGTCAGTCAGTGAGTCAGTCAGTGAGTGAGTCAGTCAGTCAGTCAGTCGGTCGGTCAGTCAGTGAGTCAGTCAGTGAGTCAGTCAGTGAGTGAGTCAGTCAGTGAGTCAGTCAGTGAGTGAGTCAGTCAGCCACTCACTCAGTCACTCATTCATTCATTCACTCAGCCATTCAGTCAGTCACTCACTTACTCATTCAGTCACTCATTCACTCAGTCATTCAGTCAGTCACTCACTTACTCATTCAGTCACTCATTCACTCAGTCACTCACTCACTCAGCCACTCACTCAGTCACTCATTCATTCATTCACTCAGCCATTCAGTCAGTCACTCACTTACTCATTCAGTCACTCATTCACTCAGTCATTCAGTCAGTCACTCACTTACTCATTCAGTCACTCATTCACTCAGTCACTCAGCCACTCAGCCACTCACTCATTCACTCATTCACTCAGTCATTCAGTCAGTCACTCACTTACTCATTCAGTCACTCATTCACTCAGTCATTCAGTCAGTCACTCACTTACTCATTCAGTCACTCATTCACTCAGTCACTCAGCCACTCACTCAGTCACTCATTCACTCAGTCATTCAGTCAGTCACTCACTTACTCATTCAGTCACTCATTCACTCAGTCACTCACTCACTCAGCCACTCACTCAGTCACTCATTCACTCAGTCAATCATTCATTCAGTCAGTCATTCGTTCAGTCAGTCAGTGAGTGAATCAGTCATTCGTTCAGTCAGTGAGTCAATCATTCAGTCAGTCACTCTGTCACTCACTCAATCAGCCACTCACTCAGTCACTCATTCACTCAGTCATTCATTCAGTCACTCACTCAGTCAGCCACTCACTCAGTCACTCATTCACTCAGTCAATCAGTCAGTCAGTCATTCGTTCAGTTAGTCAGTGAGTGAGTCAGTCATTCGTTCAGTCAGTGAGTCAATCATTCAGTCAGTCACTGTCACTCACTCACTCAGTCACTCATTCACTCAGTCATTCATTCAGTCACTCACTCAGTCACTCATTCACTCAGTCAATCATTCAGTCAGTCAGTCAGTCATTCGTTCAGTCAGTCAGTGAGTCAGTCATTCGTTCAGTCAGTGAGTCAATCATTCAGTCAGTCACTCTGTCACTCACTCAATCACTCACTCACTCACTCACTCATTCACTCAGTCATTCATTCAGTCACTCACTCAGTCAGCCACTCACTCAGTCACTCATTCACTCAGTCAATCATTTAGTCAGTCATTCATTCGTTCAGTCAGTCAGTGAGTCAGTCATTCGTTCAGTCAGTGAGTCAATCATTCAGTCAGTCACTCTGTCACTCGCTCAATCACTCACTCAGTCACTCATTCACTCAGTCATTCATTCAGTCAGTCACTCACTCAGTCACTCATTCACTCAGTCATTCATTTAGTCAGTCACTCACTCATTCAGTCACTCAGTCAGTCAGTCATTCATTCAGTCATTCGTTCAGTCAGTCAGTCACTCGTTCATTCAGTCACTCAGTCAGTCAGTCATTCATTCGGTTATTCGTTCAGTCAGTGAGTCAGTCACTTAGTCACTCACTCTGTCACTCACTCAATCAGCCACTCACTCAGTCACTCATTCACTCAGTCATTCATTCACTCAGTCATGCATTCACTTAGTCATGCATTCATTCAGTCACTCAGTCAGTCAGTCATTCAGTCAGTGAGTCAGTCATTCATTCAGTCAGTCATTCAGTCAGTCACTCTGTCACTCATTCATTCATTCAGTCAGTCGCTCAGTCACTCAGTCAGTCATTCATTCAGTCAGTCATTCAGTCAGTCAGTCGCTCAGTCACTCAGTCACTCATTCAGTCATTCGTTCAGTCAGTCAGTCATTCAGTCAGTCAGTCGGTCATTCATTCAGTCACTCATTCATTCAGTCACTCACTCACTCATCATTCATTCACTCAGTCAGTCATTCAGTCACTCATTCATTCAGTCACTCATTCATTCACTCACTCACTCATTCACTCACTCAGCCACTCACTCAGTCACTCACTCACTCACTCAGTCATTCATTCACTCAGTCACTTATTTACTCAGTCACTCACTCAGTCACTCATTCAGTCAGCCACTCACTCAGTCACTCATTCATTCATTCACTCAGTCAGTCAGTCATTCGTTCAGTCAGTCAGTCATTCAGTCAGTCAGTCATTCAGTCAGTCACTCTGTCACTCAATCAGCCACTCACTCAGTCACTCATGCACTCAGTCATTCATTCAGTCAGTCAGTAATTCGTTCAGTCACTCAGTCACTCATTCAGTCATTCCTTCAGTCAGTCATTCAGTCAGTCAGTCATTCAGTCAGTCAGTAACTCAGTCAGTCAGTCAGTTATTCGTTCAGTCAGTCAGTCAGTCAGTCGCTCATTCAGTCACTCATTCATTCAGTCACTCACTCACTCAGTCATTCATTCACTCAGTCGGTCATTCAGTCACTCATTCATTCAGTCACTCATTCATTCACTCAGTCACTCATTCACTCAGTCACTCACTCAGCCACTCACTCAGTCACTCACTCACTCACTCAGTCATTCATTCACTCAGTCACTTATTTACTCAGTCACTCACTCAGTCACTCACTCATTCAGTCAGCCACTCACTCAGTCACTCATTCATTCACTCACTCACTCACTCAGTCAGTCAGTCACTCGTTCATTCAGTCACTCACTCTGTCACTCACTCAATCAGCCACTCACTCAGTCACTCATTCACTCAGTCATTCATTCAGTCAGTCACTCATTCAGTCAGTCATTCATTCACTCACTCACCCACTCAATCAGTCACTCATTCAGTCTTCACTCAGCCACTCACTCAGTAACTCACTCACTCAGAAACTCAGTCACTCATTCACTCAGTCATTCATTCACTCAGTCACTAGTTCACTCAGTCACTCCCTCACTCACAAATTCACTCACTCATTCACTCACTCACTCACAAATTCACTCACTCACTCACAAATTCACTCACTCACTCACAAATTCACTCACTCACTCACAAATTCACTCACTCACTCACAACTTCACTCACTCATTCACTCACTCTGTCTCTCTCCGTCTCTCTGTCTCTCTTTCTCCCCCTGAGTCTCCCTCTGTCTCTGTGTGTCTCTCTGTCTCTCTGTCTGTCTCTGTCTGTCTCTCTGTCTGTCTCTGTGTCTGTCTCTGGCTCTCTCTGTCTCTCTCTGTCTGTCTCTGTGTCTCTCTCTGTCTCTGTGTGTCTCTGTGTCTCTCTGTCTCTGTGTCTCTGTGTGTCTCTGTCACCAGGTGCTGGACGTGTCCTCCAGCCGCCTGGCCAACCTACCCCACTCGCTGTCTCTGTCTCTCTGTCTCTGTGTATCTCTGTCTCTGTGTCTCTCTGTGTCTCTGTCTGTCTCTGTGTCTCTGTCTATCTCTCTGTGTCTGTCTCTCTCTGTCTCTCTCTGTTTCTCTCTGAGTCTCCCCCTGAGTCTCTCTCTGTCTCTCTGTGTGTCTCCCTCTCTGTCTCTGTGTGTCTGTGTGTCTCTGTGTCTCTGTCTGTCTCCCCCTGAGTCTCTCTGTGTGTCTCCCTCTGTGTCTCTGTCTCTCTGTGTCTCTGTGTGTCTCTGTCACCAGGTGCTGGACGTGTCCTCCAACCGCCTGGCCCGCCTGCCCGACTCGCTGTGCCTGTGCCTGTGCCTGCACACGCTCAACGCCTGTCTCTCTGTCTGTCTCTCTGTCTCTGTCTCTGTGTCTCTCTCTGAGTCTCTCTGTGTCTCTGTGTCTCTGCCTGTCTCTGTGTCTCTGTGACCAGGTGCTGGACGTGTCCTCCAACCGCCTGGCCCGCCTGCCCGACTCGCTGTGCCTGTGCCTGTGCCTGCACACGTTCAACGTCTCTCTCTCTGTCTGTCTCTGTGTGTCTGTGTGTCTGTGTCTGTCTCTGTGTGTCTCTCTGTCTCTCTCTGTCTCTCTGTCTGTCTCTCTACCTGTCTCTCTCTGTGTCTGTGTGTCTCTGTCTCCCCCTGTGTCTCTGTCTCTCTGTCTGTCTCTCTCTGTCTCTCTCTGAGTCTCTCTCTGTGTCTCTGTCTCTGTGTCTCTGTCTCTCTGTCTCTGTGTCTCTCTGTCTCTGTGTCTCTGTGACCAGGTGCTGGACGTGTCCTCCAACCGCCTGGCCCGCCTGCCCGACTCGCTGTGCCTGTGCCTGTGCCTGCACACGCTCAACGCCTGCCTCTCTGTCTCTCTCTCTTTCTGTGTCTCTCTGTCTCCCCCTGAGTCTCTCTGTGTCTCTGTCTGTCTCTGTGTCTGTCTCTCTGTCTCCCCCTGAGTCTCTCTGTGTCTCTGTCTCTGTGTCTCTCTCTCTGCGTCTCTCTCTGAGTCTCTCTCTGTCTCTGTCTGTCTGTCTCTCTCTCTCTGTGTGTCTCTGTGTCTGTGTCTCTGTGTGTCTCTGTGACCAGGTGCTGGACGTGTCCTCCAACCGCCTGGCCCGCCTGCCCGACTCGCTGTGCCTGTGCCTGTGCCTGCACACGCTCAACGCCTGTCTCTCTGTGTCTCTGTCTGTCTCTGTCTCTCTACCTGTCTCTCTCTGTGTGTCTCTGTGTGTCTCTGTGACCAGGTGCTGGACGTGTCCTCCAACCGCCTGGCCCGCCTGCCCGACTCGCTGTGCCTGTGCCTGTGCCTGCACACGCTCAACGCCTGTCTCTCTGTCTGTCTCTCTGTGTCTGTCTCTCTGTCTGTGTCTCTGTGTCTCTGTCTCTCTATCTGTGTGTCTCTGTGTCTCTCTCTCTCTGTCTCTCTGTCTCTGTGTCTCTCTCTCTCTCTCTGTGTCTCTGTGACCAGGTGCTGGACGTGTCCTCCAACCGCCTGGCCCGCCTGCCCGACTCGCTGTGCCTGTGCCTGTGCCTGCACACGCTCAACGTCTGTCTCTCTGTCTGTCTCTCTGTGTCTCTGTCTGTCTCTGTCTCTCTACCTGTCTCTCTCTGTGTGTCTCTGTGTGTCTCTGTCACCAGGTGCTGGACGTGTCCTCCAACCGCCTGGCCCGCCTGCCCGACTCGCTGTGCCTGTGCCTGTGCCTGCACACGCTCAACGCCTGTCTCTCTGTCTGTCTCTGTGTGTCTGTCTCTCTGTCTGTGTCTCTGTGTCTCTGTCTCTCTATCTGTGTGTCTCTGTGTCTCTCTCTCTCTGTCTCTCTGTCTCTGTGTCTCTCTCTCTCTCTCTGTGTCTCTGTGACCAGGTGCTGGACGTGTCCTCCAACCGCCTGGCCCGCCTGCCCGACTCGCTGTGCCTGTGCCTGTGCCTGCACACGCTCAACGTCTGTCTCTCTGTCTGTCTCTCTGTGTCTCTGTCTGTCTCTGTCTCTCTACCTGTCTCTCTCTGTGTGTCTCTGTGTGTCTCTGTCACCAGGTGCTGGACGTGTCCTCCAACCGCCTGGCCCGCCTGCCCGACTCGCTGTGCCTGTGCCTGTGCCTGCACACGCTCAACGTCTGCACCAACGTTCTGCCGCGGCTGCCCGAGTCCCTGGCTCGCTGTGCCTCGCTCCGCCGCCTGCTCGTCGCCCACAACCTGCTGCCCTCCGAGGCCCTCTCCTCGCTCGTAGCGGCCGTCGCTGCTGCTGCCGCCGGTGGCGGCGGAGGCGGTGGAGGCAGTGGAGGCAGTGGAGGCGGTGGAGGCAGTGGAGGCAGTAGAGGCGGCGGAGGCGGCGGAGGCGGTGGAGGCGGTGGAGGCGGCGGTGGAGGCGGTGGAGGCGGTGGAGGAGGCGGTGGAGGAGGCGGCGGAGGCGGTGGAGGGGGTGGAGGCGGTGGTGGAGGCGGTGGAGGCGGTGGTGGAGGCGGTGGTGGAGGCGGTGGAGGAGGCGGTGGAGGAGGCGGTGGTGGAGGCGGTGGTGGCCGGATGGATCTCGAGGAGCTGCAGATGCAAGGAAACCGCGTGGAGGCGGTGGATGTGAAGATCGCCGTCGCCTGGCCTGGGCTCAAGGTGGTGGTGGTGGTGGTGGCGGGGGTGGTGATGCCCAAGATACGCACACAGACACACACACACAGACACACACAGACGCACACACACAGACACACACACACAGACACACACAGACACACACACAGAGAGACACACACACAGATACACACAGACAACAACAACAACCGCCATTCGCCACTAAGTGGCGGTGACGTCACCACGACGCTTGTGCCAGGCTATGTGCACCCTGAGGCCACGTGAAGTGTCGAACGCCCGCTGGCAGGAGGTCACGGGGCAGACCCAGCAGGTGCCACGGGTCGACTGACTGAGATGACTACTGGCTGATGCACCACCTGTGCCCCCTACTGTGCCAACCTGCTGTGCTTTAGCCACCCGGCGCTCCGCTCGTTGTTGTGAGCGTCGCTCCTCCGCCCTCCGTTGTTGTTGGAGGGCGACTGCCTCCAACTGCCCAGTAGCAGCGTCCTTCACGAGCCTCCTCCACAGAGGCCGATCTTGACACCGCTGGTACCAGTCATCGGCAAGTCCACTCAGCTCCACGTCATCCTGTACCACATCGCTCCATCTCTTCTCTAGCCCGTGCCGCGCCCGCTTAGCCCCCTCAATCCGGCCGAACAAAAGCTGTTCCGGCATGCGGTGGCTGGGCATGCGGGCTACATGACCCAGCCAACGCAGCCTTGCCCGCCGGAGGAGCTCACCGATGGGACCTTGCCCAGATCTTTCAAGGATTTGTGAGCTCCTCACACAATCCAGTCTGGTTAAACCCAGGATGGATCGTAGGCAGGCCAGCCTAAATGTTTCCAACCGGCGAAGATGCTCCATTAAGGGGGTCCACGTTTCGCAAGCGTGGAGAAGGGAGGGAATGACTGTGGCCGAGAAGACCTGAAGCTTAGTGCGGAGCGACAGACCAGGTAGCTTCCACACAGCATTACGCAACCGATGAAAAGATATTGCCGCTCGACTGATTCGGAGTGAGACCTCTGCTGTTAAACCGGAGCCAGTCATAAGCACACTGCCCAGGTATGGGAATCTCTCCACTCTCTCCACAACTGCCCCATCACCGATTGGGAGTTGCGGGGGTGGAGTGTCCGATGGTACAAAATACCCAGGCAGGTGCTTAGTTTTGGTGGGGCTGATGGTAAGGCCCCACCTCTTAGTGGCATGCTCCAGTCTCAGCAGCAGCGTCTCCAACTCCTCCTCTGAATGAGCAGCTATTACCAAATCATCAGCATACATAACGTGGTTGAGCAATAGGGAGCCATCCCTTGACCGCACCCGGGCATCGATCAGCCTCCCATTATATCTGTACCATATGGAGATTCCCCCGGTACAGCTATTGAAGGCTTCACGAACTACGTGGTCAAAATAGATGTTAAATAATGTGGGAGTCAGAGGACATCCCTGTCACACCCCAAGGTGTACAGGGAATGGCTCTGACTCCCGGCCACGTAGTTTTACCCGGGCCCGCTCACCATCATGAAGGTCCTTAATGATCGTGAGCAGAGGGTCAGGTACTCCAAAAGCACGAAGAACGACCGGCAAAACAACCCCTTACACCTCCTCGCGGGCAACTCTGTCGTGGACAATGCTGTGGGGGGAGGTCCAATTCCGATTGGCTCCTCCCCTCATGGCGTCTGTGTCCACCACAGGGGCTAAACGGGGGCTCTGGACGGGTGCGAGGGGCTGGTAACCCCTCCACCTTCAATTAATTACCACGAAACCACGAGTTAAACTGAAATATTCCAACACTACACACACTACACACACACACTACACCTACACACACTACACAAACTACACACTACACACACACTACACACACTACACACACTACACGCACTACACGCACTACACACACACTACACACACACACTACACACACACTACACACACACTACACACACTACACACACACTACACACTACACACACACTACACACTACACACACACTACACACTACACACACACTACACACACTACACACACACTACACACACTACACACACACTACACACACTACACACACACTACACACACACTACACACTACACACACTACACACACACACACTACACACACTACACACACTACACATACACTACACTACACACTACACACACACTACACACACTACACACACCACACACACACACACTACACACACTACACACACTACACACACACTACACACACACACTACACACACTACACACACTACACACACCACACACACACACTACACACACACACTACACACACTACACACACACTACACACACACACCACACACACACTACACACTACACACACACTACACACACACTACACACACACACTACACACACTACACACACACTACACACACTACACACACTACACACACTACACTACACACACACTACACACACTACACACACACTACACACACTACACACACACTACACACACACTACACACACTACACACACACTACACACACTACACACACTACACACACTACACTACACACACACTACACACACTACACACACACTACACACACTACACACACACTACACACACTACACACACTACACACACACTACACACACTACACACACACTACACACACACTACACACACTACACACACTACACACACACTACATACACTACACACACTACACACACACTACACACACACTACACACACTACACACACTACACTACACACACTACACACTACACTACACACACTACACACTACACACACTACACACTACACTACACTACACACTACACTACACACTACACTACACACTACACTACACACTACACTACACACTACACTACACACTACACTACACACTACACTACACACTACACTACACACTCATCGTGATGATTCTCTGCTCCCCAGAGTGTGGATCTGTCCCACAACCTCCTGACCGACCTGCCACACCCCCTGCTACACTACACACTACACTACACTACACACTACACTACACACTACACTACACACTACACTACACACTACACTACACACACACTACACTACACACTACACTACACACTACACTACATACTACACTACACACTCACCATGATGATTCTCCCCTCTCCCTGTCTCCCCAGAGTGTGGACCTGTCCCACAACCTCCTGACCGACCTGCCACACTCCCTGCTACACTACACACTACACTACACACTACACTACACACTACACTACACACTACACTACATACTACACTACACACTACACTACACACTACACTACACACTACACTACACACTACACTACACACTACACTACACACTCACCATGATGATTCTCCCCTCTCCCTGTCTCCCCAGAGTGTGGACCTGTCCCACAACCTCCTGACCGACCTGCCACACTCCCTGCTACACTACACACTACACTACACACTACACTACACACTACACTACACACTACACTACACACTACACTACACACTACACTACACACTCACCGTGATGATTCTCTGCTCCTCCAGAGTGTGGACCTGTCCCACAACCTCCTGACCGACCTGCCACACCCCCTGCTACACTACACACTACACTACACTACACACTACACTACACACTACACTACACACTACACTACACACTCACCGTGATGATTCTCTGCTCCTCCAGAGTGTGGACCTATCCCACAACCTCCTGACCGACCTGCCACACTCCCTGCTACACTACACACTACACTACACACTACACTACACACTACACTACACACTACACTACACACTACACTACACACTACACTACACACTACACTACACACTCACCATGATGATTCTCTGCTCCCCCAGAGTGTGGACCTGTCCCACAACCTCCTGACCGACCTGCCACACTCCCTGCTACACTACACACTACACTACACACTACACTACACACTACACTACACACTACACTACACACTACACTACACACTCACCGTGATGATTCTCTGCTCCTCCAGAGTGTGGATCTGTCCCACAACCTCCTGACCGACCTGCCACACTCCCTGCTACACTACACACTACACTACACACTACACACTACACTACACACACTACACTACACACTACACTACACACTACACTACACACTACACTACACACTCACCGTGATGATTCTCTGCTCCTCCAGAGTGTGGATCTGTCCCACAACCTCCTGACCGACCTGCCACACTCCCTGCTACACTACACACTACACTACACACTACACTACACACTACACTACACACTACACTACACACTACACTACACACTCACCGTGATGATTCTCTGCTCCCCCAGAGTGTGGACCTGTCCCACAACCTCCTGACCGACCTGCCACACTCCCTGCTACACTACACACTACACTACACACTACACTACACACTACACTACATACTACACTACACACTCACCGTGATGATTCTCTGCTCCCCCAGAGTGTGGACCTGTCCCACAACCTCCTGACCGACCTGCCACACCCCCTGCTACACTACACACTACACTACACACTACACTACACACTACACTACACACTCACCGTGATGATTCTCTGCTCCCCAGAGTGTGGATCTGTCCCACAACCTCCTGACCGACCTGCCACACCCCCTGCTACACTACACACTACACTACACTACACACTACACTACACACTACACTACACACTACACTACACACTCACCGTGATGATTCTCTGCTCCTCCAGAGTGTGGACCTGTCCCACAACCTCCTGACCGACCTGCCACACTCCCTGCTACACTACACTACACACTACACTACACTACACACTACACTACACACTACACTACACACTACACTACACACTACACTACACACTCACCATGATGATTCTCTGCTCCTCCAGAGTGTGGATCTGTCCCACAACCTCCTGACCGACCTGCCACACTCCCTGCTACACTACACACTACACTACACACTACACTACACTACACACTACACTACACACTACACTACACACTACACTACACACTACACTACACACTACACTACACACTCACCATGATGATTCTCCCCTCTCCCCCTGCTCCTCCAGAGTGTGGATCTGTCCCACAACCTCCTGACCGACCTGCCACACTCCCTGCTACACTACACACTACACTACACACTACACTACACACTACACTACACACTACACACTACACTACACACTACACTACACACTACACTACACACTACACTACACACTACACTACACACTACACTACACACTACACTACACACTACACTACACTACACACTACACTACACACTACACTACACACTACACTACATACTACACTACACACTACACTACACACTCATCGTGATGATTCTCTGCTCCTCCAGAGTGTGGATCTGTCCCACAACCTCCTGACCGACCTGCCACACCACCTGCTACACTACACACTACACTACACACTACACTACACACTACACCACACACACTACACACTACACTACACACTACACTACACACTCACCATGATGATTCTCTGCTCCTCCAGAGTGTGGATCTGTCCCACAACCTCCTGACCGACCTGCCACACTCCCTGCTACACTACACACTACACTACACACTACACTACACACTACACTACACACTACACTACACACTACACTACACTACACACTACACTACATACTACACTACACAATCACCATGATGATTCTCTGCTCCTCCAGAGTGTGGACCTGTCCCACAACCTCCTGACCGACCTGCCACACCCCCTGCTACACTACACACTACACTACACACTACACTACACTACACACTACACTACACACTACACTACACACTACACTACACACTCACCATGATGATTCTCTGCTCCTCCAGAGTGTGGACCTGTCCCACAACCTCCTGACCGACCTGCCACACTCCCTGCTACACTACACACTACACTACACACTACACTACACACTACACCACACACACTACACACTACACTACACACTACACACTACACTACACTACACACTACACTACACACTACACTACACACTACACTACACACTCACCATGATGATTCTCTGCTCCTCCAGAGTGTGGACCTGTCCCACAACCTCCTGACCGACCTGCCACACTCCCTGCTACACTACACACTACACTACACACTACACTACACACTACACTACACACTACACTACACACTACACTACACACTACACTACACACTCACCATGATGATTCTCTGCTCCTCCAGAGTGTGGATCTGTCCCACAACCTCCTGACCGACCTGCCACACTCCCTGCTACACTACACTACACACTACACTACATACTACACTACACACTACACTACACACTACACTACACACTACACTACACACTCACCATGATGATTCTCTGCTCCTCCAGAGTGTGGATCTGTCCCACAACCTCCTGACCGACCTGCCACACTCCCTGCTACACTACACTACACACTACACTACACACTACACTACACTACACACTACACTACACACTACACTACACACTACACTACACACTACACTACACTACATACTACACTACACACTACACTACACACTACACTACACACTACACTACACACTACACTACACACTACACTACACACTACACTACACACTACACACTACACTACACACTACACTACACACTACACTACACACTCACCGTGATGATTCTCTGCTCCTCCAGAGTGTGGATCTGTCCCACAACCTCCTGACCGACCTGCCACACCCCCTGCTACACTACACACTACACTACACACTACACTACACTACACACTACACTACACACTACACTACACACACTCATCGTGATGATTCTCTGCTCCTCCAGAGTGTGGATCTGTCCCACAACCTCCTGACCGACCTGCCACACCCCCTGCTACACTACACTACACACTACACTACACACTACACTACACACTACACTACACACTACACTACACACTACACTACACACTACACTACACACTACACTACACACTCACTGGTGATGATTCTCTGCTCCCCAGAGTGTGGACCTGTCCCACAACCTCCTGACCGACCTGCCACACCCCCTGCTACACTACACACTACACTACACTACACACTACACTACACACTACACTACACACTACACTACACACTACACTACACACTACACTACACACTCATCGTGATGATTCTCTGCTCCCCAGAGTGTGGATCTGTCCCACAACCTCCTGACCGACCTGCCACACTCCCTGCTACACTACACACTACACTACACACTACACTACACACTACACTACACACTACACTACACACTACACTACACACTACACTACACACTCACCGTGATGATTCTCTGCTCCTCCAGAGTGTGGACCTGTCCCACAACCTCCTGACCGACCTGCCACACCCCCTGCTACACTACACACTACACTACACACACACTACACTACACACTACACTACACTACACACTACACTACACACTACACTACATACTACACTACACACTCACCATGATGATTATCTGCTCCTCCAGAGTGTGGACCTGTCCCACAACCTCCTGACCGACCTGTCACACTCCCTGCTACACTACACACTACACTACACACTACACTACACACTACACTACACACTACACTACACACTACACTACACACTACACTACACACTCACCGTGATGATTCTCTGCTCCTCCAGAGTGTGGATCTGTCCCACAACCTCCTGACCGACCTGCCACACTCCCTGCTACACTACACACTACACTACACACTACACTACACACTACACTACACACTACACTACACACTACACTACACACTCACCGTGATGATTCTCTGCTCCTCCAGAGTGTGGATCTGTCCCACAACCTCCTGACCGACCTGCCACACTCCCTGCTACACTACACACTACACTACACACTACACTACACACTACACTACACACTACACTACACACTCATCGTGATGATTCTCTGCTCCTCCAGAGTGTGGACCTATCCCACAACCTCCTGACCGACCTGCCACACTCCCTGCTACACTACACACTACACTACACACTACACTACACTACACACTACACTACACACTACACTACAAACTACACTACACACTACACTACACACTACACTACACACTACACTACACACTACACTACACACTACACTACACACTACACTACACACTACACTACACACTACACTACACACTACACTACACACTACACTACACACTACACTACACACTCACCGTGATGATTCTCTGCTCCTCCAGAGTGTGGACCTGTCCCACAACCTCCTGACCGACCTGCCACACTCCCTGCTACACTACACTACACACTACACTACACACTACACTACACACTACACTACACACTCACCGTGATGATTCTCTGCTCCCCCAGAGTGTGGACCTGTCCCACAACCTCCTGACCGACCTACCACACTCCCTGCTACACTACACACTACACTACACACTACACACTACACTACACACTACACTACACACTACACTACACACTACACTACACACTCACCATGATGATTCTCTGCTCCTCCAGAGTGTGGACCTGTCCCACAACCTCCTGACCGACCTACCACACCCCCTGCTACACTACACACTACACTACACACTACACTACACACTACACTACACACTACACTACATACTACACTACACACTACACTACACACTACACTACACACTACACTACACACTCACCGTGATGATTCTCTGCTCCTCCAGAGTGTGGACCTGTCCCACAACCTCCTGACCGACCTGCCACACTCCCTGCTACACTACACACTACACTACACTACACACTACACTACACACTACACTACACACTACACTACACACTCACCGTGATGATTCTCTGCTCCTCCAGAGTGTGGACCTGTCCCACAACCTCCTGACCGACCTACCACACTCCCTCCTACACTACACACTACACTACACACTACACTACACACTACACTACACACTACACTACACACTACACTACACACTACACTACACACTACACTACACTACACACTACACTACACACTACACTACACACTACACTACACACTACACTACACTACACACTACACTACACACTACACTACACACTACACTACACACTCACCGTGATGATTCTCTGCTCCTCCAGAGTGTGGACCTGTCCCACAACCTCCTGACCGACCTACCACACTCCCTGCTACACTGTCCCAAGTTGCGTTCCCTGCGACTCGCCGGGAATCCGTTCAGAGACCGCCACTTTGGTCGCCTGGCCGCCGCCGACACGGCACAGGCCAGGGGCCTCCTGGCCTACGTGGAGAGCCATGGCGGTGGTGGCGGTGGTAAGGTGGTGGTGGTGGTGGTGGTGAGGGTGAGGGTGGTGGTGGTGGTGGTGAGGGTGGTGGTAAGGTGGTGGTGAAGGTGGTGGTGGTGGTGGTAAGGTGGTGGTAAGGTGGGGGGGTGGTGGTGGTGGTGGTGGTGGTGAGGGTGGTGGTGGGGGTGGTGGTGGCGGTGGTAAGGTGGTGGTGGTGGTGGTGGTAGTGGTGGTGGTAATGGTGGTAGTGGTAGTGGTGGTTGTGGTAAGGTAGGGGGGTGGAGAGACGCTGGGGGGGGGAGAGACACGGTGAGAGAGAGACACGGGGAGAGAGACACAGGGGGAGAGAGAGACGGGGAGAGAGACACGGGGAGAGAGAGACACGGGGAGAGAGAGACACGGTGAGAGAGAGAGACACGGTGAGAGAGAGAGACACGGGGAGAGGGAGACACGGTGAGAGAGAGAGACGCGGTGAGAGAGAGAGACACGGTGAGAGAGAGACACGGTGAGAGAGAGAGACACGGGGAGAGAGAGACACGGTGAGAGAGAGAGACGCGGTGAGAGAGAGAGACACGGTGAGAGAGAGAGACACGGGGGGAGAGAGAGACACGGGGAGACAGAGAGACATGGGAGAGAGACACGGGGAGAGAGAGAGACACGGGTGAGAGAGAGACACGGTGAGAGAGAGACACGGTGAGAGAGAGACACGGTGAGAGAGGTAGACACGGGGAGACAGAGAGACACGGTGAGAGAGAGACACGGGGAGAGAGAGACACGGGGAGAGAGAGAGAGACACGGGGAGAGAGAGACACGGGGAGAGAGAGAGACACGGGGAGAGAGAGAGACACGGGGAGAGAGAGACACGGGGAGAGAGAGAGACACGGTGAGACAGAGAGACACGGGGAGAGAGAGAGACACGTGGTGAGAGAGAGACACGGGGAGAGAGAGACACGGGGAGAGAGAGAGACACGGTGAGAGACACGGGGATAGAGAGACACGGGGAGAGAGAGAGACATGGGGAGAGAGAGAGAGACACGGTGAGAGAGACACGGTGAGAGAGACATGGTGAGAGAGACACGGTGAGAGAGAGAGACACGGTGAGAGAGAGAGACACGGGGAGAGAGAGACACGGGGAGAGAGAGACACGGTGAGAGAGAGAGACACGGGGAGAGAGAGACACGGGGAGAGAGAGACACGGTGAGAGAGAGAGACACGGGGAGAGAGAGACACGGGGAGAGAGAGACACGGTGAGAGAGAGACAGGGGGGGGAGAGAGACACGGGTGAGACAGAGAGACACGGGGAGAGAGACACGGTGAGAGAGAGACACGGTGAGACAGAGAGACACGGTGAGACAGAGACACGGTGAGACAGAGAGACATGGGGAGAGAGAGAGACACGGGGAGAGAGACACGGGGAGAGAGACACGGGGAGAGAGACACGGGGAGAGAGAGAGACACGGGGAGAGAGACACGGGGTGAGAGAGACACGGTGAGAGAGAGACACACACAGAGAGACACGGTGAGAGAGAGACACACACAGAGAGACACGGTGAGAGAGACACGGTGAGAGAGAGACACACACAGAGACACGGTGAGAGAGAGAGACACACACAGAGAGACACGGTGAGAGAGAGAGACACACAGAGAGACACGGTGAGACCCTCCCCCCTCTCTCTCTCTCTCCCCCCACTCACCCCGCAGGGCCCCGCGGCATCTCCAAGAAAGCCAAGAGCGGTGCCCGCCGTCGGCCTCCCACCGACACCGACCAGGCCTCCGACCAGGCCTCCGCCGACCAGGCCGCCGACCAGGCCTCCGCCGACCAGGCCGCCGACGACCGGCCGACCATCCACGTGATCCGCAGGGCCGCCAAGACGCCCGCCAAGACCCCCGCCAAGACCCCCGCCGGGGACGGGAAGGCCAAGCGACAGGCGGCGAGGAAGAAGACGTCGCAGGGCAGTGAGGGGCCGGAGCCGGCGGTGAAGGCGACTCTCAAGCTGAAGCAGAAGCAGCAGAAGCAGCAGAAGCAGCAGAAGCAGAAGAATCAGAAGAATAAGAAGGAGGAGGAGGAGGATGAGGAGGAGGATGAGGAGGAGGCAGTGGTGCTGAAGACGCTGAAGATGCTGAAGACGAAGACGCAGAGAGAGGAGGAGGTGGAGGAGGATGAGGAGGAGGATGAGGAGGAGGATGAGGAGGATGAGGAGGAGGATGAGGAGGAGGTGTGTGTGCTTGTGTGCGCGGCTGTGATGAAAGTGCGACCGTACCTCGTGGCCTGCCGGCTACGGGGACTGGAACTCGGCGAAGGCGGAGCGCTGAAGAGATTCCTGGGCCTGCAGGTGGGGATGGTGGGGGGGGGTGAGTGGGTGGGGTGGGTGGGTGAGTGGTGGGTGGGTGAGTGGAGCTGGTAACCCCTCCACCTTCAATTAATTACCACTAAACCACGAGTTAAACTGAAATATGTAGCTAATAAGCTTGTGCCGGAGGCCCCGGGGAGGCCAGGCGTCTGTGACGTCTCCTGGCCAAAACCCCAATTGGCGGAGCCAGGAGATTGAATACCTACCCTCGGGGCTACTCCAGAAACAACGAAAAGCCACTACGGGTGGCCACGTGGAATGTTCGAACGCTCACTGCAGAGGAGAGGCTGCCCACTCCTCTGTCAGGAGCTGGACCGGTACCACCTGGATCTATGCGGCATTCAGGAGGTCCGGTGGACCGGTTCTGGCTCCTGCCACCATGAGGGGTGGACAGTTCTCTACTCGGGGCAGCAGACTGCCAAACAACAGGGTGTGGCTCTTCTTTTGAACAAAAGAATGAAGGGGGCGTGGGAGCGTGGCGGTGAGGTGTGGGAAGCTGTAAGCCCCAGGCTACTTTGGGCTCGCCTTCCCATCAACCGGAGGCGAGGAATGGTGGTCGTGGTTACTTATGTCCCCACCGAAGACGAACATCCGTGGAGGGATGCAGGCAGAGCCGATGAGTCAGATGCCTTCTATGACCTCCTGTCACAGGTGCTGGCTAAAGTGGCCCCTCGGGATAGAGTCATCTTGTTGGGTGACTTCAATGCCCGAGTTGGTCATGATGCTGGCACCTGGTCTGGAGTGATTGGAGGGCATGGGCCTGATAAGCTCAATAACAACAGTAGGAGGCTGCTAGATTTTTGTGCAGCCCATGGGCTTGTAATTACCAATACGCTGTTCCGGCATCGGCGCATCCACACAACATCATGGATGGATGCCGGGTCCAAGCAAGAACATCTGCTGGACTACGTAGTGACGGACCAGCGGATGCGGGCCCATGTCCTTCACACCAGGACCTACCGTGGAGCTGATCTGCCCTCTGACCATCGACTAGTCATCTGTAAGATGCCCCTGCTATTCTTCCACTCCGGTGGTGGGTGTACACCCAGGACCCCATTCCAACCTAAAGTGGCCTGGTCTCAGGTATCTGATGAAAGTTGCAAGCGAGAATTTCATCATCGCTTGCGGCTGGGATTGGCATCGTCCCCGACTCCTCCTGATGTCGAGGGTAAATGGGCGGGGTTTAGGACTGTGACTCATGCAGCTGCAATGGCTGCTTTGGGTACGCGGTCCAGACCTCCCCAGAGACCCTGGCTGACAGAGGAGGTGTTCAGGATGGTTGAGAAAAAGCGACAGGCCCACTGTCATCGGCTACAGAATCCCACGTCAGAGAATGAGGAGGCTTACCGCAGCCTTCGCTCGGATGTTCGGAGAGCCGTGAGGCGCTGCAAGGATAGGTGGTGGTCGCGGGTTGCTGAGGAGATGGAGTCTGCCTCAGTGGCCCGTGATCACAAATCTCTATTTAACTCCATCAAAAAAGTAACCTGCAGCGCAACACCTATTACCATCATTATGGGAAAGAATGGTGTTCCAATCTCCGACCCCCAGGATCAGGTTTGCAGATTTGCTGAGCATTTCTGTGAGGGAAGGGAAATCCCTCAGTCTGGAAAACATCGTGGCACAAAGTGGGGATGACCCTGCTGAGGCTGCGGTGCCTCAAATATTGGATGAGCAAGTCACCCCTTGTGAGTAGCTGGCTGAGGTGCCATCTGCTGAGGAATACTGAAGGTGATCCAGAGTCTGAGACCAGGAAAGGCACTGGGCAGAGATGATCTCCCATGCGAAATGTTGAGGGAGGTGGCGTTTGTGCACAGACTGCCCTACATCATAACAACAGTCTGGACCACTGGACAGGTTCCGCAGGATTAGAAGGATGCCCTGGTGGTCCCCCTCTTTAAGAAGGGGGACCGCACAGACTGTAACAACTGCAGGGGCATCTCACTCCTCAGTGTGCCGGACAAGGTCCTGGCAAGGATTATTCAACATCGCCTTGCCAGGCACGCTGAGGAGAGGCTTGCGGAGCCCCAATGCGGTTTCAGGAAAGGCGGTCCTGCACAGATGCCATATTTTCTCTCCATCTGCTACAGCAGAGGTGTAGGGAATTCCAACAAGACCTACATCTCTGCTTTATTGACCTGGTCAAGGCCTATGATACCATCAGTAGGCCTGGGCTCTGGATTGTTTTTCATGCTTTCGGAGTCCCTGACCCTCTGCTCACTACGTGGCCGGGAGTCAGAGCCATTCCCTGTACACCTTGGGGTGGCGACAGGGATGTCCTCTGGCTCCCACATTATTTAACATCTATTTTGACCACGTAGTTCGTGAAGCCTTCAATAGCTGTACCGGAGGAATTTCCATCTGGTACAGATACAATGGGAGGCTGATCGATGCCTGGGTGCGGTCAAGGGATGGCTCCCTATTGCCGATGATTTGGTAATTGCTACTCATTTAGAGGAGGAGTTGGAGACGCTGCTGCTGAGACTGGAGCGTGCCACTAAGAGATGGGGCCTTACCATCAGCCCCACCGAAACTAAGCACCTGCCTGGGTATTTTGTACAAATCGGACACTCCACCCACACAACTCCCATTGGTGATGCTGCAGTTGTGGAGAGAGTGGAGAGTTTCCCATACCTGGGCAGTGTGCTCATGACTGGCTCCGGTTTAACTCCGAATCAGTCGAGCGGCAATATCTTTTCATCGGTTGCGTAACGCTGTGTGGAAGCTACCTGGTCTGTCGCTCCGCACTAAGCTTCAGGTCTTCTCGGCCACGGTCATTCCCTCCCTTCTCTACGCTTACTAAACGTGGACCCCCCTAATGGAACATCTTCGCCGGTTAGAAACATTTAGGCTGGCCTGCCTACGATCCATCCTGGGTTTAACCAGGCTGGATTGTGTGAAGAGCTCACAAATCCTTGAAAGATCTGGGTAAAGTTCCATCGGTGAGCTCCTCCGGCAGGCAAGGCTGCATTGGCTGGGTCATGTAGCCCGCATGCCCAGCCACCGCATGCCGAAACAGCTTTTGTTTGGCCGGATCGACGGGGCTAAACGGGCACAGCATGGGCTAGAGAAGAGATGGAGTGACGTGGTACAGAAGGACGTGGAGCTGAGTGGACTTGCCGATGACTGGTACCAGCGGTGTCAAGATCGGCCTCTGTGGAGGAGGCTCGTGAAGGACGCTACTGGGCAGTTGGAGGTAGTCGCCCTCCAACAACAACGGAGGGCGGAGGAGCGATGCTCACAACAACGAGCGGAGTGCCGGGTGGCTAAAGCACAGCAGGTTGGCATAGTAGAGGGCACAGGTGGTGCATCAGCCAGTCATCTTAGTCAGTCGACCCGTGGCACCTGCTGGGTCTGCCCCGTGACCTCCTGCCAGCGGGCGTTCGACACTTCACGTGGCCTCAGGGTGCACATAGCCTGGCACAAGCGTCGTGGTGACGTCACCGCCACTTAGTGGCGAATGCCGGTTGTTGTTGTGTGTGTGTTTGTGTGTGTGTGTGTGACTGTGTGTGTGTGTGACTGTGGGGAGCGATAGTGTAGCGGTTAGCGCGCTGCGCTATGAACCTGGCGACCCGGGTTCGATTCCCGCTCACGGCCAACACCAGTGACGATTATCTGAACCGGTCCCGGGCCTCCCCTAGGTCGACTCAGCCTCAAATGAGTACCTGGTGCGGTGTGTAAACATTGCCACTAGGGAGACAAAGGCGGTCGGGCGTGGTGCTGGCCACCCACCCCCTCGTGTACCGTTCCGGCCTTCATAGG